ACAAATAAAATATATTTCTCTATATCTTTATAAATTATTTTTTACATGGGTAAGAATGGGATCACATAATAACTATTTCATTCACTTTCTGACAAGTAAGAGTGCTCAAATTTCTACTGAAGCACAATGTCTAATGATGATGATGGATGTTTCAATCTTTCTTCGGGAGTTGTAAGCTGAATTTATTGTAATTATTTATTGATCATAAATTTCCTGCACTTTTTTATTACCTACAGTGCTCAAATCTAATCTGGTGATCTGATTAATCGATGAATTATAGCTTATTAAGTCACAGATAGGAATCCATTAAAAATTTTCTGAATGAATTATAATGATGTAGCGATGCGTTGTATTTGTCTGATTCAAGAATAATGTTAAGAAAAAATTTAACTTTACAATACAATTGTTAAAATTTACTGTTGTATCGTTCAAATAACAATTTTATTTCAAATTTTGAAAAAAACTAATTATTTTTACGAATTCTCAAAACAGCTGAGCCAATCTTAACTTTTGTTTTCCTTGTGAGATATTTAAATTGAAATAAATTAAAATTGAAACAATAATCTCAAATGTAATGTAAAGAAAAGAGAATAGTTCATAGAACAAATTTAACTTTTTAACGATTGTATAATCGTTAAAATTTAGTGCTGCATCGTTCAAACAACAGTTTTATTTCAAAATTTGAAAAACTAATGATTTTTACGAATTCTCAAAACAGTTGGGCCAAACTGAACTTTTGTTTTCTTTGTGGGTTATTTATGTAAATACTAAAATTATAAACAACATTAGAATTGAAATAAATGCCGCAAATTATTACGTCATTTAATAGATTAATGGGTATAATTAAAACAAAAATCAATAACAGTTTGTTTATATGAAATATTCACTTTTAACCTTTATATTTCTGCCCAGCTTATAGCTCAGTCTATTTCAATCCTTCGTTGCCAAAACAAAAAAAGAATTTTAATTTATTTACCTACAACATACGCATCTGCGTTTGATAGAACATAGATTATTTTAAGTAGTATGAATAACACACTTGATACAATAAATAAATATTTCACGTACTTTTATTTCAATATGGAGGCAAATTCATTTTCGGAGCTGTCAAGAATTAATTATTTGATGGATTTTATTATGCAAATAGCATAGCTTTACTTCGAAACATTTCGTTTCCATTTGGGTAAAGACTTTGGATTTCATATCAATTCCCTTGCCCGTTTCAAAAGCGAGATTTTAATAGCTTCATCGTAATTAAACTCAAAACGACTCCGTAAGTTTTGGATTATCTAATGATCGAATAATAGCCGATGCTGTAATTAAGATTACATTTCATCAGCCTGGACTTGACTTGAGAGAATAGCTCAAAGAAAATACCATTTTAATAGTTAATACAGTTTAAATTTCGTTAACTTTCAAAAAATAAGCTTAGGTATGAGATTTTGTTTATTATTGGCACAAAAAATACATTTAGCTTGAGAAGTTCAGTTTCAGCTTCGCGCTCAACTGTAAAGGAAGCTCACCCAAGTCAAAATTCTTGTTAGTTCCATCAAAAAAATTTTATGGTTTATGTTGGTCATGATGGTAAGACATCATTTGATGGTCCCCATCATCCAACATTTTCCGTTATGTATTCATGGTTTTTAATACGCCAACAAGCATCCATCATTCCATGATTGAAAATGATGGTCTTTAATAATATGATGGTTAACCATCAAGAGAAGTTTGACTATCATGAACCAACAATTCGTGATGATCTATGAAGGTTCATGATGGTTCCAACTATACATTTACATGGTGGTTTAATAGGAATTTTAGCTGATTACCAGCAATATAAAATCAAAATAATTTGGGTTTTTAATGTTAGGCCATCATCAATCAGTCCGAATTCCTACATTAGGATGATGGTGGTTCATGATAGTCCCAAAATTTGATTTCTAAGATACTATGATGGAAATTCATGATGATTCAACATGAACAAACCACCAAAACAAGTTGCTATTCTTATATTGGGCCATCATAAATCTGTCCAAATTCCTACATTGAGATGATGGTTACTTATGTTGGTCAACATGAAGATTATGTTGGTCCATCAAAGGAAAACCATCAAAAATTTTGACTTGGATAGGAAAGGTTTGCGGTAAGCTAACTCTGCAGAAGCACAGAATGTAGTTTTGTAAATCTAGTTAAAAAAAATGCCCGACAAGGTAAATGTTTATTAAATATTTTAATTTTCCGTTGCAATCTAAGCCACATTATAAAAAATCCACGATCAAATTGCGGCACTTGGAATTTTTTGCCATAAAATCCATTTTTACCGAAACATGCAACGGAACAAAAAATCAAGATAGATTCACATAGGATAATTAATTTTTACACTAATTACAGTAAAATCACTGAATGATTCTAAATTAATAAATATTACGATTAAAATCACGGCATAGCAGTTTATGGTAAAAATGTATTTAATAGATCATGTACCCAAAGTATACTTTGTGTCGTAATTTGATCAGGAATTTTTCACAGTGCCAAAAATAAAAATATATATGAGTTATCCGTTGAAGAAACAATCGGAAGAAAAAAAGTTTGCTGTTTAACCATATCAAAATAAAAAGATTGAAAAAACACCTATAATTGGAGTAACATGATGCTGCTTAAAATTGTTTAAAAATTTTTTTTAAAAAAACTTGTTTTTAAGATGTTTGATTTCAGTTGAAAGTGAAACCAAAGTCAAAATTTACTTTTGAAGCATTAAAAAAATTTTAAATCAAAAGCAAGCACATTGGTTTGTATTAAGTTTTTTTATTCAAATTTAGAAAAAAACAATTGAGAGATTAACTCTACGGCAATAAAGTTTCGTGAAAACACAACCGACAAACAAGCTTCTACTTCCGCTGTACAGCTTCATTTCAAAACTTAAACAAATAAGCTTATAATTCCAGAAAATTCAATAGTTTTGATTTCAAGCTTATAATACCTCTTAACGTTATAATAGGAAAAGGTATAGTTTTTCGTAGATTATTGTTTTTACTAAATTTCATCCTTTAGCAATTTTATATTACTGTAAAAGCAAAACTGTAAATTAAAAAAAAAGAATTCCTACAATGTTTTTGATTATAATTATTTATTACTGACTTGTAGAAATACGACTTAATAGTAAAAATTCAAAATAAAAAGTAATATTTCTAAAAACCACGTTTTAGTAGTGGAGAATAATAATTAAGAAAAAAATTGAAAAACGAAAAACGTGGGGCGCATGAAATACATAACAGTAATGTTATATTAGTGTGTGTATGTGTGCTCTTGAGAATATGTGTATGTATATCAGTAATTGTAATTGTATCTGAATGTGGATGTGGAATATGCTTTTGTATATGCATATGTATGTGGATGTATATGTGGCTGTGCATGTGTATGAGTAAGAAAATGTGTATATGTATGTGTATATGTACTGTTATGTATTTCATGCGCCCCACGTTTTTCGTTTTTCAATTTTTTTCTTAATTATTATTCTCCACTACTAAAACGTGGTTTTTAAAAATATTACTTTTTATTTTGAATTTTTTTATTTTAAACTATGATTTTTTTATTTTTTAATTTTTATTTTATATTTTTAAAAAATTATTATTTTTTAATTATTATTCTTCACTACAAAAAACGTGGTTTTTAAAAATATATATTTTTATTTAGATTATTTTTCTTAGTCAAGAGTAGTCAAAACTACTACAAGACCACTACTAAAGTAATAGAACTTTTATTTTAAATTAGGGATACAAAAATCTTTATAGAAAAACAATACCTTTACGACTTTCATTAGTTTTATGCTGATGACAACCAAAACAATCTGGAAATGAATGAGGAAAAACTGGATCCTACCACGTGATTTTTCAGCCAATAAAAATACTCCGACAACAAAAATATTTTCACCTGACACGTAATAATTTGAAATAATGGAATCGACAACAAAAGACAATCTCGAAAATAATTTTTTTTTTAAATTTTAATTTTATTTTACTTTGCATGTCTTTTTTCTCTTCATTTTCATGCATTGTCATCCAATTCTGAACTGTGTGCTAAATTTGAAGTTTGTAGCTAGTCGGGAAGTTAGTTTAAAATCGATTACAAAATTCCACCCGGACAGGCATACACGAAGGCAAGTTTATATAAACGTGGTAATAAAATAAGGTTATTAATTTATTTTGCAACATAACTTGCCGAAAACGAATACGCACTTAAGCAACGTTGAAAAATAGTTAAACGGCACAAAGTCGAACATTTAAAAATAAAATAAAAACTAGAGTGGCCAATTAAAATGAAATTTTATTTTTGAAATGTAGGAACAAAAATGGAGGCCGTGGTAATCCAGCGGTTAGAGAATCGGACTTCGGTCTGATGGGGTCGGGATTCGATCCTCGAATTACCGAATTCACGCATCATGCGTGCTCTTAAAATCTGTGGATTCAAAAGTCTTGTGGTCGTTTGCAGAGCTGTACGATTTGGACAGGAATCTGGAGTAAATGTCTAAATTGAGGAAATGACCTCACGAATGAATACTGCTGCCATCTATCCCTGGAAATCTGAACTAAGAAGTAATTTGAACTTTACGGTGCTCTCTTGCCAAACGAGAGGCACACCTTCCTGACTTAATTCGCAAAAGGACGATTCCTGACAATCTTATCTTGTCTACGTGTCGTTCGAAACAACCATTATAGCAACAGGAACGAAAAATATTTCGATAATACAATCGAAAAATCTAATTTTTAAGTCTTTTCTTATTTCCTTATAAATATCACAAATTTTATATACTCATTTTAGAATAAAAACAACTAAACGCGTTTTATTAATTTTTTCAACTCACTCTTGTTTAATTTACCTTTAATCATTTCGAATTGGAAAAAATTTAAGACTTTGAAAATATCATAAGCTAATTTTTAGGAAGTGTTAGAAAAATTTTAGTTTTATTTTTGATTAACTTAATAATTATCAAATAATTTAAATGATCAACTTAAAAGAAATGAAATCATCTTACATGTGACACCAAGCATGATTCTTTTGCTTAAAGACGGTGGTACACCATTGTGGAAGATGCATAGGTAGGCACCCATATGTAGACGGCTTACTTTAGTGATGTTCAAGTAATTTCCTCGAACAGATGTCACTGAAAAAATAGAAAAATAATTAAAGTTGCTAATACTATTTTAGAAACATGAACTGACTTAACTATTTTATCGTTAATACTACAAAATATTTTAGAATTTTAGTTAAGGATGCATTCCCACAACTGTCTTCCTTAAGGCAGTGACTCACGGTGTTAAGAGATTTTACCTGAAAGTGAAATATTTTGTGGTTCTCTCTACTTCACTTTATTTTATTTTATAACCGTCGTTGAACAGCCGACCCAATTTTATGGGTTTACGACTACTAATGTTTAACTCCGTAGTCTTGTAATTTTGAACCCAATCCAGAAGACAAGGGAACTCCTGGACCGAGTATTGGGAGAATTTTTGCCTTCTTGGAGGACTTTTTTTATGAAGCTAACCCGCATTTGCTTTACATGGAGAGGAAGACCATGAGAACCTCCCACGGTTATCCTGACGGCTATGGGAATCTAGCCCATGATCCGTCTACCACTGAGGATATTTCATGTCAGCACTGTGGTCGGTGCAAGCCGAATGCGGAATTCGTATCGACTGCGATTCGAATCCGGTTCGCCTCATTGGAAGGCGAACGCTCTATCTCCTGAGCCATTGCGGCTCTACTTCACTTTATTAAATTAATACTTCTGACTCCATTTTACAAAAAAAGCGAAACATAAAACTTTTTATTTACGCAAAAATATGTTCTATAATATCGCCAAAGCGATACTTGTTCTAGCTTACAACTCACATATGCTGAAATATCAAACGAATAGTGTCTAGTACTTTTAACACATGGAATGGAGTTTAAGGTTCCACAATTTCATAAACATCAGTATAATTGTGGAAATCTTTTTACTGAGCACAGAACATTTGATCAATAATGAAAAATAAGGACCAAATCAAGTGTTTGCAAATGATGTGACTTTTCATCTAAGTTTTGTCACATTTGTGGCTTTTTAAGAACTTTTTTGTCAAGCAGACGAATGATCCTGTCTGCACTTGTTAGAATGAAAACTTTGGTGCTGAATAAAATACTCTTGTACAATAATTCTTCAAAACATGTGCCTTTTTTTCTATTGCTCATTTTTGGCATATTTTTTGTCGGGGGACTTGGAAAAATTTGAATAAGTATTCCCATGTCCAGCAATACTTCTTTATAGAACAGCATAGTAGAAAACGATTTTTTGCGAAAAATAAAGTGAATTTTAATTTTCAGTACAATGGAATACAATATACATACAATACTACAATAAGAACACATTTTTATAAACTTTCTGTTTGCTTGAATAAATTTTTAAATCAATGGTAAAATGGTCTGTGATGATGACAATGCCCTCAAGTTTTAACCTTTCGGCATTCACCTAAATTTAGAATGTTACTTTCGTGACGGTGCCTCTAGTTTTTTTAACTGCGACAGTGAGCTTTGCTAAGTCGGTTGCCCGGATGGACGCTAACATTCGATTTGTGTTGGTGCTCTAAGTACGAGAGCGGAAACTTAAAAGATTCGCTTTCCTTCTGTGCATGCTCAGGAGATAAAAATTTATTCTCTATTTCCAATTATTTATGTGTAACTGATATTGCGCATTTATGCGAATATAGTAATTCGAACAGATTTACCAATTTTATACATTGATTTTTGGAGACTAACGGCAGAGCATGCAGAGAAGGGGACACATGTTCTCTTCGAGAGCAGAGTTTTACTGCAGAGAGTTAACTGCAGAGTTTTTTTTTATGGAATAGTTCCAGTGCTTCCTGAGCTATCATCGTGCCTTTAATTTGTGATGTCCCCATAAAATAAAAATAAAAATGATCCGGAAGATGTTAGTCATCATTTCCATTTTTGACCAGTGAACATGACACTATACCACGTGCCCTATGCAGCCGATGCGACACGGTCATTTATTTTTGGCGAGAATCAGGTTGTAGGATGCGGGAAAACAATGGCAGATGAAAAAACTCGTAAACAAAAAAAAACTCGTAACCACCTCAATGCAAGCAATTATAAATTTTTTGATAGTTCCCATTAACAAGACTCGGATACTGGTACGTTAAAGGAAGCAAAGGGCATGGACTGGGTACCAATTAGGAAGCGTGCACATTCAGCGTTTAACCTTTCCTTTAATATTATATCCAAAGATATATTGCTGTAAATTCTTATGAGATTATCAAATTCAAGTACTATTAGTTGTAGGAACAAGAATAAAATAAGACAGGTGCAGCATGTAACTATTTTTTTCGTTTACAATTTTTTTGTTTTAATGACGGGCTCTTTAAACAAAAAAAACTGATGGTCAAATACAAAGAGGAAATTCATTTACAGGTAATTGAGAACACAAATAAACAACAATTACATCATAAGGTGCTCTTATTAAAGCACAGGTACCTTCACTTAACAAAGCTACAAAAGCTACAAACATGATGTTTTTAGTTTTTTTTTAATGTTGCTTTCTTTTTAAGCTTACCTTCGAACTTAAAACAAGGACATGGAATGCAATTTGAAGAAATATATTGATGCAATTTACAAATAAATAGAGTGAATCATGTTGGTTGAACTCAAAAATCGTCTACGTGCATTGTAAATGTTTTTTTTTTTTATTTGAAGTATACTTCTTATTCGACTTCCAACAAGGTTGCGTTAAACGTTTAATGCTACATTTTTATTGGCCGGGAAATCACGTGGTAGGATCCAGTTTTCCCTCATTCATTTCCATATTGTTTTGGTTCTCACTAGCATAAAAATATTAAAAGTNTGCAGCATGTAACGGTTGCGAAACTTTACTTCGTGCATTGAAAAAAATAATTACTGAAAAATCTAATTTTTTTTTTACTGCTATGTTTTCTTTTAATGACGGGATCTTAAAAGAACAAAACTGATGGTCAAATACAAAGAGGAAATTCATTTATAGGTAATTTAAAACGCAAATAAACAACAATTACATCATAAGGTGCTCTTATTAAAGCACAGGTACCTTCACTTAGCCTATTCTTTCGATTCCTGTGAGTTTACAAAAAGGAGATTTCGAACTTTAGCGTTAGCTGCCGTACGTAAAATTTGAATAAACTGCGCATGCTCCTGTTTCTTTAGATGGTACGTAGCTTTACGTTATGCTGGCGTGATTCACGCTACAATGACAAAACTACAAACACGATGTTTTCAGTTTTTAAATGTTGCTTTCTTTTTAAGCTTACCTTCAAACTTAAAACATGGACATGGAATGCAAGTTTGAAAAAATATATTGATGCAATTTACAAATAAATAGTGTGAATCATGTTGGTTGAACTCAAAAATCGTTTACGTGCATTGTAAATGTTTTGTTTTTTTTATTTTGTAGTCAAATTTCAAACGATATTTCTCAGCGTTAGCGTTTTTAACTAGCAGATTTTTGCGAAATCTCTTATTTTCACTTACGTAAATTTAATACTTTTCCACGGGCGCATGCGCAATAAGAATTGTTAGGTGATATCAGTCGGAAAAAAATCAGTCTCGCGAGTACGGATTTCACCGGTTTCCAGAAGTTTCTGGAAACAAAATGGTGCATAACTATCATTACCCCGTATGGTAGCTTTGAACTCACTAGATACAATTCTTGTAATTACTTAAACTAAACTTCGCAATATCATGGAAACTTTTATTACAATCTTTAAAGAAATGCATGCAGGTAGATTTGAGCTAAAATGCTATGATATTTACCTTTAGTTTTTCCAAGATTTATTTCTTCTCCATTTTCTCGTCTCCACGTGTTTTCAGGTTCTGGTGAGCCTTTGGCAACGCATCTCAGGCTGACGTCACTTCCTTCTTTCACATCTGTGTCGGAACTTGTGAGTTTCTCATCAAGGTAGGGAGGAACTGTAAACAAGACTCTGAAATTAAAAGTTTCTTCAACAAGTAAAGACAAAAATACTGTAAAGTTATTGATTAAAACTTGTTTTTGTTTTAAAGAAAACTTTTCATGAAGTGAAAAATACATAGCTTTCTCTAATGTAGTCACGCATAAAATGATAGGAAATGCATAGTAGAAAAATCGTCACAAAAGATGAAGCAATTTTTGCGTAATCTCAAAGAGCACTATTTTTTCTCTTAATCTTCATGTGCAGTAATGATTGTAAAATCAAAAATGAATACCTTTCTAGCAACTTGATAAATGAAAAATGTAAGGAATCAAGAGTAAAAATACAAGTCGTTGTAAATTTAATATTCACCATAAAAGCTTATTAGGATAGAAAATAATAGAAAAAGTAAATTAGCTATCTTTGAGATTTGAACGACGGAAACAGCTCCATAAATGAGGATTAATAGATATTAATAGTTTCCAATAACACGATAGTAATAAGTTCCTCCGTTAATAGTTTCCAGTAAGAAGAAGTGAATACTATAAACTATGTTAAAAGCTGATACAAAATCTACTTGGAAATATCGTCTAGAGCAGTGGTGCGCAAACTTTTTTCGACTGCGACCCCTTTTGAAGAGAGAAAATTTTTGGCGACCCCTAGAGATAAATGTTCACCAATACGATGTATATTTAGCGCATTTCTTTCGTTTCATCGAATAAAAACATCATCATATTTGACTCATATAATTTTATTTATAATTTTAAGAAAATACTTTTTGTATAACACAAAAATCAGTAAATTGCCCTTTAATGAGATGTATATGGCTGCAAGTTTCTAATTATCTCATCGATGTTTGGATGTATGTTGCTAATTGCAATTCGCATATCATCTTCAGGGTTTAAACGCGAGCGGTATTTAGTTTTTATTGAAACTAGTTTGCTAAATCCAGTTTCACATAAATACGTTGATACAAATTGTATTAACACTCTGATGGTATTCTTGCATAAAACGGGATATTGTTTTTCCACGGATAGCCAAAATTTTTGGCAAGGCTGAGTCTTAAATTGATTTCGAAGAGTATAATCACTAATTAGATCTATAAATTGCTCTTTCTCACTAATTTGAAGAGTTGAACTGCATATGTCAAAGGAAAATGGATCACGAATCCAACCAAGATCGTTTTCAGGAAATTCCTCGAATCTTCTCGAAAATTTTTTTCTTTAACTTTTCAATGTGATTGGAAATGATGTTTCTAAATGTAAATATATCTATATTATTTTCCTTGATAAAATCGTTAAAGCAAGGGAACATGTCGGTGCTGTTTTTATTCAGTTCCGTTTGTAAGAGACTAAGCTTATTCTTAAAAGCTTGAATTTTACTGGCTGCAGTTATGATAGTTGAATTCTCACCCTGCAAGCTTAAATTTAAGTCGTTAAGTTTTTCGAAAATATCAAATAAATAGCTAAGCTTCCCTAGCCTAACTTCATTGATATAATAAATTGCCAATCTATGTTTCTTTTCGATTAAAAACATGTACACTTCATTTCTCAAATCAAATATCTGTCGTAGTATTTTCCCACGTGAAAGCCATCCAACTTCGGTGTGTAACAGTAATCTCTCATACGTTGAGCCCATCTCATTGCAAAGTATCCATCTCATTGCAAAGTATTGAAAAGAGACGGCTGTTGTGGCTGTTGCATTTAATGGTAGTTAATTGAACTAACAGCGTCTTGTAATACGTTGTGGAACTCTTCATCCATATCTTTTGCAACAAGAGCTTGCCGATGAATCATACAGTGATTAAATACCATATGGGGCGCCACCTTCTGAATTAAGCCTCTGAGCCCTTTATTCGAACCTGTTAACGCTGCAGCACCATCAGTACAAACCGCAACACAGTTTGCCCAGGGACTTTGCTTCAAAATATTCATTTGTTACTTCGAATATTTTTTCTCCAGTTGTTTTTCCTTCCAAACTTTTGCAACATAGAAACGTGTCTGTTATATCTTTATTAAAAATAAACCTAACGTAAATAATTAGTTGTGACATTTCAGTAATATCGGTAGTCTCGTCCAGTTGTAAAGCAAATACAGACGAATTTTGTATGCGTTTTATGACTTCTGACTCGATATTTCGTGACATTTCGGTAAATCCGCCGAGACACGGTATCTCTTGATAATGGTATTGTTTTTAGTTCATTTCCATATTTATCGCCATGCATAATTGATGCCATCTTAGTTGCTGCAGGAAGGATAAGGGATTCTCCAATTGTATGGGGTTTCATTGTTTTCCTATTAGATAAGAAACTTCTAAAGAAGATCGTAATGCTTTCTGAGGTATTGTTGTAAATTTCTTTAAATGTGCACTTTGAATTTTCAGATTTTCAGCTCGTCTTTGAGAAAAATCGGCATGTTTATTTTGAAGTTCTTTATGTTTAGTTTCCAGGTGCCTTTTTAATTTAGCTGGCTTCATGCTCTCATTTGCTAACTTTTCGCTGCAAATGACACATATCGGGCGTTCTTCATCATCAACAACACAAAATGTAAAACCATACTTAATAAATTCCTCATTGTATTTTCTTATTTTTTTAGATCGGGCATTTAGTTCAGTATTTTGCGACTCCTCATCAGTATTTGTTCGTTTGTTAGCTGAAGATGTACCTGGTGTACGNGGAAAAATGCACAATATTATCGTGATTACAGAGCACGGAAGGAAAAAGAGTCGTTGAATAGAACTAGTGATCCTTCTACGACTGCTGATTCTTCTACAATTAAAGTCGCAGGTTGCGAAGTTTAACTTCTTCCGCGCAGAGGGACTCCACGCACTATTTTTTATTTTGTAGTCAAATTTCAAACGATATTTCTCAGCGTTAGCGTTTTTAACTAGCAGATTTTTGCGAAATCTCTTATTTTCACTTACGTAAATTTAATACTTTTCCACGGGCGCATGCGCAATAAGAATTGTTAGGTGATATCAGTCGGAAAAAAATCAGTCTCGCGAGTACGGATTTCACCGGTTTCCAGAAGTTTCTGGAAACAAAATGGTGCATAACTATCATTACCCCGTATGGTAGCTTTGAACTCACTAGATACAATTCTTGTAATTACTTAAACTAAACTTCGCAATATCATGGAAACTTTTATTACAATCTTTAAAGAAATGCATGCAGGTAGATTTGAGCTAAAATGCTATGATATTTACCTTTAGTTTTTCCAAGATTTATTTCTTCTCCATTTTCTCGTCTCCACGTGTTTTCAGGTTCTGGTGAGCCTTTGGCAACGCATCTCAGGCTGACGTCACTTCCTTCTTTCACATCTGTGTCGGAACTTGTGAGTTTCTCATCAAGGTAGGGAGGAACTGTAAACAAGACTCTGAAATTAAAAGTTTCTTCAACAAGTAAAGACAAAAATACTGTAAAGTTATTGATTAAAACTTGTTTTCGTTTTAAAAAAAACTTTTTATGAAGTTAAAAATTTATAGCTTCTCCATTGTAGTGACGTGTTAAGTGCATAGTAAGAAAGAAAAAAACATCACAGCAGATGAAGCAATTTTTTCGTAATCTCAAAAAACACAATTTTTCAGTTTAAACTCCATGTGCAGCATGTGCTTAGATTGTAGAAGCAAAAATGAACAACTATCTAGCAACTTTATAAATGAAAAATGTAAGGAAACAAGCGTAAAAATACAATTCATTGTAAATTTAATATTCACCATAGAAATTTATTAGGATAGAAAATAATGAAAAAAATAAAAGCAAATTCACAATTAGCTATCTTTGAGATTTGACTCTATAAATGAGGATTAATAGATATCCAATGACAAGATAGTAAATAGTTACTCCGTTAATAGTTTCAAGTAACAAGAGTCGAATACTATGAATTATGTTAAAAGCCGATACAAAATATACTTTTTTTAAATGTGTTTTCTCGGTATTTTCTGGCTGGAGTGCTTTATTTTAGGGGTTAAACACTCTTAAGGTATACGATTTTTTTTGTCGTATGGCTGTTTAGGCAGAGGGGGTGCGATTGTTCTTGTTTTTCAGTGGCGCCATCTATGGCCAAGAATTCGACCTCTGCCACACCATTCACACAACCACAATCCCGTTTATAGGGCGGGTCACATTCACACAACCAAAAGAGAGAGGACATAGAACACACAGAGAGAGGGAAAGAAACATCCATGCCTTGCCTGGGATTCGAACCCAGGACCTTTCTGATGCAAGGACAGTTCTCTGCCCCCTACACACGCTGGTCGGCAAGGTATACGATGAATTTAATTAATAAATTTTAATCCTCAACTAAATTCTCATTTCATATGTCGTGGCCAATTGAATTTCATATGAGATTTTCACTTCATTACGCCATGCAACTGATAATCGACTATTTTCAGCCGTGTAAAAAGTCATGCCCTAAACAGCTCTCAAATGAAAAAAAAATAAGGAACAGCTTTGTAGCTCGTGATCAAATGATCAGACTTTCTCGAACTGATCTGTAATAGGCTCACGGAGTAAAATTTTAATTAACTAGTTCATTTGTAAACACTAAATTTCAAATTGCGAAATTAAGACGTAGATGAGGCCTTTTTTCCATAAACGTACATTTCTGCAAAAGGAGTCGGATTTTTGACCTTCAAATTATGGGGAGGAGCTTCAATCTGGAAGATAGGGTCCCAAAAATTGACCACAACAGCTGTTAAAATTTTGGTTTCTTTAATGTTAATATCACTTTTTTCCCCATTTTCTTATATCCGCAAAGAAAAAGTTTTATGCAAAACCAATTTCAACGGAAATGTAGTTTTTTCGATTAGTTTATTATTTTATTTGTTTTTAAAAAATTGAATCTTACACAATATTATATAATACAAAAATATGCAATCCTAAATGAAGGCACCCAAAATGTAGACAAAATCTACCAAATTATTCCTAAGCAGTAAAATTTTAAAAAAAGAAGTTTTTTAATTAGTCGTTAGTTAGAATTTGAATTTTCCAGAAACTATTCTTCCGATTTGGTTCTATACTTTAAAACCGTGTAAAAATCAGCGAATACATTGACATTTAATTTTTGTCCAATTAAAAAATAAATAAATCATTTAACAAAAACCTTATCTTTGCATGAAGTTATATTTGGAAAAACGAGTTTGATCATTGTGGGCAACAGGGTTTTAATTTGCTGCAATAGTAGTAATATGCAAGAAGTGAAAAGTCATTAAGAGGTCACAGTACTTACAGAACGAAGAAAGATATCGAATTTTAATTGCTTATAATAAAACGTCAAACGATTTCGAAACAGTGAAAAAATCATCTCTCTATCTGAATTTATAAAAAAGTTACGAACTATTTCAGATTGCCCTAAAAAGAAAAATTGATCAGTAGACAACTTTTCAGATGGTTTCGGTTTCGTCTCTGCTTATCCAAATGCACAAATTCCTATATTATATACATGTTTGATTGTAAAAAAATAATACTTTGAAACAATACATAGATTTTTTTATTATTTTGATACTGTTATTTAAAAATTTAAGATTTTGATCATATTGTAATAAGTATTCCAAATGAAAGAGTCCCGTGGTTCCCAGTAAAAAACAGAAGTCAATCATCACTGGCTGTGTTCAGTAAGCTGGTGAATGACCACTTTACTCAACATGCGTAGTGACTAAAGGTGCGCGGTATCGTAATAATGTACATAAACATTACGTAAGTGGGTTTTTGGCAATTTTGAATCCTTCCTTCTTCTTAGCGTAAATGCACAAGTCACAAACATCACTGCTAAGAACTTATAAGAGCCGTGGTGGCTCAGGGGATAGAGCATTCGCTTTCCAATGGGATGGCTCAGTTTCATATCTCTGCGATGGCCGATTGATACGAATTATGCTCTCGCCCCGCACCGACCACCGTGCTGACTTGAAATATAATCAGTGGTAGACGGATCATAGGTTAGACTCCCCTAGCCATTGGACTAACTGAGGGAAGTTTTCATCTCCATATGACACCATATGACGTGGTTTTCATCTCTAAATGATGGTTAGTTCTATCAATAAATCCTCCATGAAGGCTAGTTTGTCCCAAAACTTGATACAAAGTTACCTTGTTTTCTGGGTTTAGTTAAAAATTACAAGACTACGAATTTGAACATCGAAAGCCGAAAACTAAGAATTGGGTCAGCTGTTCAACGCCAGTTATGAAATTATTTAATTTAAGCTTACAAATGAGTAAGTCAAATCGCCTTCTCCTCCCTTTTCGCTTTAGCACTGAATTTTATTGTAGCTCTTAAATTTTAATATACAAGTAAAAGATGCAACTTTCCAGAAAATAAAATTTACTATCCAATTCATTTCATTTAGTTTTCAGTAGAATATTCCCACGAAAATGTTGGTGATTTTCTTCTGTTGTCCTGATCTCTGAAACTTTCTGCAGATATTTTTTTCTAATTTCTTTATTTCCTAAATTAAACATTTACTTCAAATTTAAAATATTTCCAAGAGTGATTTGCTTTAAAAATTTTGCAACATTTTGTGCAAGAATAAAAATAATTAAAATAAATGTATTTTAGGGTATTTTGTAATATTTGCTCTTATCCCTCCTTTCCCCTTTTAGTAGCAAGAAGCGAATTCTAAACCAATCTAATTAAATACTGAATTAGTAGCTAAATATCGAAATACCGAAGGAGTAAAAACACATATAATTTTTAAAATACATGGCTTTAGAATCTGTCTACGGGTATTATTATTTATTTATTGATATTTTGGTATCTGTATTGATTTTTTTTACCCATTGGCAAAATGAGTCTTGGTTTGGATTTGATGGCGTCCACACACGTTTCAACACGAGCGATTAATTCTCACTTGGGCCGGATCACGCTATTGGTCGAAAATGACATCACTGTTTGGGGGAAGGGAGATTGTGGCTGTTGGTGGTGTTTGTATGAGTTTGGCGACAAATTTTGTATGCACACTTGCTCGCTCGGAATTTATTTATTCCTTGCAAATGTTTACTTAATATTATGTCATCGTTAGGGTGGGGAGATAGGTAAATGTCCACATCAGCATTTCAGACAATATTTATGCTTTAATTGATTTAAATTCATCAAAGCTAAAAACAATAAAAATAATGAATGTTTTTACAAATATAAGATGGTATAGTAATATTACAAATGCGTTTTTTTTTTCGTTTGTTTGTTTTTCCATAAGAATTATCTTTTGCAGTTATGAAGTAACAAAAATTGAAATAAACATAAGCTCAAATTTACTCATACATCGCAATTTAGTTGTGTTATGAATAATTTTAAAAACTTCATAATCAAGCAAAACGTACATTTAGTTTAAAGTAATAACCAAAATTCTGGGCTAGCCTCCCCCCCTCCCCTGCATTTCTAGAACAGCCCCAGTTGCTAATGGCGTAAAAGCAGTATAGCTTAATTTCACTTAGATTCTAATAAAAAATTACCACAAAACTGTGCAAAATGTGAATATTGTCTTTATTACTCAACATTAATACTACGTGTAAATAGAGCGCATTTGAAAACTAAATATAAAATCTGTCGCCAAAATACTATGCAATACACAGTATATCTCTTCCCCAAACAGTGATGTAATTTTCGACCAATAGCGTGATCCGGCCCAAGTGAGAATTAATCGCTCGTGTTTCAACTGTGTTCAGGTGTAATAGTAAACAGTGCGCATGCGTCGTCACATCATGCGTTACTATGGCGACCGCTGTCGTTTTTCTTTTTCTTTTCACTTGCAGGTATTTTTAATGTATTTGCATAATTATAATTAAAAATATTTTTATATTCTTTTATTATTAACGTATAACTTATAACTGGCTTGACGGTGATTTCAGTATAAATATGAATGCTGAAGAAGGAAAAGTATTTTGTGACATCTTAAAACATGTACGTAGGCAGGATTTGAAAACAAATCCAACGACAAACATCAATTGAAACAGTTTTTGCAACCCACGATTTGAAATGTTGTGGCGTTTAACGGAGTCCATCCAGAAAGAAAAAGCATTTGACCAATGGGTAGACAGTGATCATAATGAGGCGATCAAAACTTTTTTTTTTTTGCTATATTTATTTAACTTGTGTTTATGATCAATTTACTTTCTCAATTTTTTATATTTTTGTGAATAATTTATATTTGTATTTAGTTCTAATTGTATATTCATGTTTTTAATTTAGTAATTACCATAACAAAGTGCTATTCTCTCTTTTAACTCTCAATTTTGTCGTTTGTGTTCCTACTATGTAACCATTTTTTTTTTTAAAAATTGTTGTCAAAATGCATAAAAATGTGTAAATTCCTGAATTTGTATAAGAATAACTAGTTTTAGCATTTGCAAAAATACTCTTTAAAAATCCACTGAAAATATTTTGAATATATCGTAATATGATCATTTTTTTTCATTCATAATTCTTCAATATTCTCTCGAAAATATCACAAAAAATATCTTTGCTTTTATCTCTGAAATCATTCTCTGTACTTCTATTTAAATATAAAACATTTTTTTAGAATAGAACATGAAGTATAAATTTATTCCACAATCCCTTTTCTTTTAAGTACTTAGTTATTTGATTTAAAATAAGTTCTTAGCGAGAATTCGAATTTCTCAGAAGGATTCAAATTTTAAATTCAGACAAATTCTTTACTGCATGAAGCAGAAATAAAATAAAAAATATCCGTGTTTTCGTCAAAATTTAATTTTTTTTTCCACATTAAATATTAAAGTTAAGTAATATTTCATATGATCGAATTCAGCAAAATCCAATACCGAAGAAAAGGTTCCATTACATTAGAAATAGTTTTATTTTTAAATGAATTTTTCTTATCGCAGCGAAATTTTCAGTGGGAGAAAGGCTTAAAAAACGAACGTTTCAAACCTTAATCCGTGATTGCTTTTTAATGGATTTTATGCTGAAATGCATTACATTGTCCCGTTCAATATAAATACAAAATTTAAAGTTTAAATATTATGTATGTTACAGGCTTGAAGAGCGTAAAATATGCAATAATGTGCATTTCTTAGAATTTGCATCCAAGCAATTCCCTAAATGTTTTTTTAAAAAAAACTCACTGCGCATATTCACTATATTTTAAAATGCGTTCGTTTGTTTTTGAATGTATCTATAATAGGTTTTTCTGCAAACTTCTACGATTTCACTTTTCTTTGGCATGTTAAAATTGGTTTGAATAAAAAATTTAAATCAAATTATATACTTCAAATATCTTGAAATAAAAAATGACATTGGATAAAAAAGAGGTTGTTTTTGTTATAAGCTTTGCTTGTTACGGTAAAGATGTAATTTATTTTCTACATTAGAAAGTCATAATGGCTGCCAATGCTTTGCCTGTTCAAAATAACGTAGCATTTTGTTTTACTGCGCAAACAGTTTTGCGCGTGCAGCGCCCGTACTAAGTTAAGTGTAATCGAAATTAAGCAGTTCAATATAGAATAGATTTGACTAACAATTGACCTAAATTACCCGTGCATTGCACCAAACCGGTTTTTTCCCGCCCAAATCACGGGCCCCCATCGACACCTGTGCTGAGTAGTAACGAACGCGCACCGAGTCAATAGTAATCCCTGGATGCCCCCATAGGGGGCCGGGCGGGGTTAATCCTAGCTTACTGCGCAAACACTATAAAACATACATATTTGAAATTACGATATATTGTGGAAAAATATACATGCAGTATGGTGAAATATATAAAATTATTGTTCAAAAATTAGTTCAAGATTCAATCATGAAATATGATGTAAATATTAGCTTTCGGACCGCTCTGCACCCAACGGGAATGCAATTACAGAATTGAAATTTGAAATACGAAATGACCAGTTTTGTTTATCAATTTAAAAGGAACTTTTATTTTAATTCAAATTTGTTCTAAAATTATTGCAATTTTAAGTACTTTTTCTCTCTATGTTGCACTTTATTTTGACAGGTAAAAACTATGAAATTTAAAAATTCGAAATTAGAATGGGCCGTAGAAAAGCATATAAGAAGTTCGAGAAATATTAACTGTTAAACTTGCTGGTCAATCTGCAGCCCTCGGAAATGCAACTACAGAGTTAAAATTTGGCGTGATAAAGAGTCGCTTATTCGTAAAGTTTTACTTCAAAATTCTAATTTGCTCAAAATTTATTTCAAATTTAAATGCTTTTTTGTATTTTTTTTTCAGATCTTTTGCTTTAAATATTGATGATTTATCCATTGTTGTAGAAATTTTATTTTCACTCACGATATTTTTATTTTATAAGCTTGCGCTCAAGTAGATGATCAAAAGCAGCAAAAAGAGAAAGACATTGCCAGACATATATCTTAACATTTATAGTAATTTTTTTAAATAAAAAAAACTTAATGAATAATGATTAAAAAAAATTCCTATTTGAATTGTTTTAAGTCTCTTACACGAGTAAAATTACTTCACATTTAATTTTTCGTATTGAATCTCACAATCTGTATTCCTTAATTTTTATTTTCAAGTTCAGATGACTATTTTTCATGTCCAAGTAATCGTAAATTTCGTTACGATTAATGTATTAACAAAACGTTCTTACATAAATCTGCAATAATTGCATACTTAAAAAAAAATATTCCATGTTTTGTGAAAAATATTGACTTTTCTGAGAGAAAAAAACAATGATAAGTGATAAGGAATTAACGGGTTGGTGAGCGGAGCGAGCAAGGGATGGAGCGTCCTAGTCGATGTAAAATCACGTAGACTAATAATATCACGTAGACTAACAGAAGAAAAGAATTGCGTATTTTTGTTATACTTCTCGGTAAATAAACAGAATATATATTATATCTTTCGAACATATAAAAAAAACGTATTTAAGAGAACTATAATTATTCTGAGGTTAAAACAGAAATGGTATACTTTGGTAGACTTTTCTCCAATAATCACGATGTACCATGTGCTCCATAAATTTCAGAACCTTAAAATTCAATAAGATTAACAGCTAAAATTATAGAATTTGCTGTTACAAAGAGTGTTTCAAAACGGACATCAGATAAGTAAAGACATGAAGTGAAAAAAAAAAAAACACAGCCGCATCATATGTCCGAACAATAGAATATACAGAACATATGGTCGCAGACAACATTGAGATGATGAAAATCTCAACCCTCTTCATATAAACTTGTAAACAATATACATATTTTTATAACAGTCGTTGAACAGCCTACCAAGGTTTTGGGTTTACGACTACTGATATTCAAGTACGTAGCCTTTTAATTTTGAACTCAATCCAGAAGACAAGGGAACTCCTGGATCAGGTAGTGGGAGGAATTTGCCTTCGTGAGGGACTCTAGCATTTTGCGCTAGATGGGGAGGAAGACCACGACAAACTACCACAGTGAATCTGGCGGAAAAGGGCCTTTAACCTATGATACCTCTACCACTGAAGATATTTCACGTCAGCACTGTGGTTGGTGCAAGCCGGATGCGGAATTCGTATCGACCAGCTATGGCTGGGATTCGAACCCGGTTCAAATCATTGGAAGGCGAACGTTATTATTGGGCCGGGATGGCCTGGTTGGTAGGACACTGGACTCGTGTTCGTGAGAACGGGAGTTTGAATCCTGCCGGCTTAAACTCCCCGTGTATTAAATCGTGACTAGTTCACGTTAAATCTATCGGGTCATAAAGTCCTCGATGTTCCCATAACAAATTATACCTCTGGAGGTACTGAATTTGAGATTGAACTGAACCAAAGAATAACCAAACTTACAATCTGTGGATGAATGAATGGGTCCGCCCTATAAATGGATGTGGCAGAAGTCGAATTCTTGGCCATAGATGGATACTAGAACAATCGCACCCTCATAGAAAACTAGAACAATCGCACCTTCAGTGCCTTTATTACTCACGACAACAACAACATAAGTTTAAGTTTGCTACCACAATAGAGTTACCATTAATCAGGTCCTTATTGGTTTTGAGATCGTCTTTTCTTACATGTTTTGATCACATTTTTTTACCCTGTAGTTTAATTGTCGTGGGGGATACAAGTTAACTGTACAAAGTTCACTTACCAACTACTTCTAAATATCCATTTTGAGTCATCATAGGGACTGTGTTTATTTGGCACATGTATTCTCCCCTGTCTCTTTCTTGAACATTGTATATGTGCAAAAACCATGTTCTGTGGCTGTTGTTGCTTACTTTGAATCGAGAGCTCCTTGTTATGACGCGGTTTTGCAGTGTCAAAAGTGTGTATTTGTTCGTGTGTATCCAGGCAACCTGCCAATGACATAATCTATCATCAATAAATAAATTTAAAACTTACGAATGATAAAATACTGAGCATAAGATATGGTCAAAAAATTGTTCATTTTTCTTTTCATTTTTAAACTTTTACACTATTCACTCAAGCATGGAACGTTCAATCATCATCGTTTACAAATAAGCGTCATGCATACCGCATCGTAAAAAAAGGATTGTTTTTTTTAATGAAGTTTAAGAAAAACACTTGATTTTAACAACAACAGCAAAAACATCTAACCATCATTAAGCTGTTTTACACAAACTCTCCATCTCAAAGAGTTTGGTCACATGATTCATGATTGTCCTCTTACGCTAATAAGACTTTCAGTACCAGAATTAAACATTATAAAAGATCATGACCATTTTTAAAGTCTGCCTATTCATTTGGCTTTTTCAAAATTACTAAACCACTATTTTGGCCACTCTGAGTTTAAAACTGAACTTGAACTTGAATGCAAATATACTGAGTGCCTGGTGTGTACCTTCTATCTGAGCTGAATTATATTTACATAATTATAAGAAACATAAGACTAATTAATATTTAAATTAAAGTTAAGAAATTTTAATAAAACTAAAAATATAATTAACAATAAAATAATTTAAATATTTGATATAGATATCTATAACAGGAAACAAATTCCCTCCCAGGAGAGCGTAAGGGGTGATCATAATACTTTATGTAGACTGGGGGCACACATACCCTCGATTTCTCTCCCTAAATGAACTAGAGCATCATCTTCCTTACATTACTACTACTCACAAACAAGAAGAAAACGCGCTTACACACCATACGTGATCATGTGACAAGTTTGTGTATCTAATGTAGTTCAAGTTACGCTTAACATTCTCGGGATGGTTGTGGGCCAAAATTTATCGAAAAGAAACGAAACAATAATTTTTCTCTCAGACTTAACATGAAGTCCTCGACAAGGTCTCTTTTACTATTTTAATCTTAAAATTATAGATGGGAAAACCTTGCTCTTAATATCAAAATTAATCTTAACTAATAATGTTAAATGTACAGCTAATATTTTCTTAAAAGGTTAGTCTCCTTGCTAAGAAGCCTTCTAATCTGAGCAATTCTTGCTTCTTTTATTTCCCTTTTTCATTCAGTGATTTTCAGTATTTTTCTTGTAACTTCGGAAGTTTTTTTGGGTATTATCTGTTGAAAGTGCTAGATTTTATTTATTTGTCATTTGAATATATGTAAGTTGTAAGATAGAATTTGTATCATCTGTTGCTATGGTGACATTACAGAACAAATTTTTGTGTGAAATTAAAATTCTTACTTCATTTTACAAAAAACAATAAACATTAAAAACATAATACTTTTACTTTACACAGAAATTTCTTCGATAATAACACCATAGCAATTGATGGCACAAATTCTATCTTACAGCTTACATATACTCAAATAACAAACAAATAAAATCTAGTACTTTTAACATTATCTTATACTTGGGGCTAAATTGTTCAGAATAAAACAGCTCATAACATATATTGTTTTCAAAAAATCGAAAATTAAAGAAGGAAGAACCTTCTAAACCCCTTCTAGAACTGAATTAGCTAATCAATCATTTGCAAAACTTTTACGAAGTTTCGTATGTTTGAAGGAAATAATAAAACGTAAGCGTAGCTAAATACTACTTGCATCACTACAAAGAATATTCTCCAAGAGGTGCTGTTTATGTTTATAATTTTAATTAAAGAATAATCATCGTTTAAATCACAGCATGATTAAATACAGCACAACGTATTAACGATAGGATTAAAACAACGATAAAAAAATAAAACAGAAAGAGAAAAGTTTCCAACTCAGCGGAAATAATAAGCCAGATTTGAAGAACATTTTGACATGTGTGGTAACCGACTGTTTCTATTTTGTAAACTTCAATCGCAAATAATTTTGAAGCTCCTAACCGTTTCTTTCTGATTAAGTTAGATACAGGGCTTCTACCTTGAGGGATTAAAAACAATTTTTGAGGCTTATACATGAAGACCTTATTTGAATATTGGATCTGCTTTGTTTCAAATACGAATGAGTGTCTGTCATCTAATTTACAGAGCCCTCTGATGGCAACAGAAATAAGCTGAAGCTGTACGAGTTTTAAAATATAGTCAAATTATTCGCATGAACATGAAACATGCTGACTCCAATTTAAATGAAGTTGGCTCATTATATAAACAAGCTCTTCAAATGAAAGTCGTCTATATTCTTACGATATCGAATATAAAAATTGATACCTAATGCCCATTAATGCAAACCCTCAACTTCTTGGTACAATCGCAAAAGCTAAACTCTAAGTCTTTTCGGAAGTTTAAATACCGTGAATTTTGAAATAAAATCCAATTGAAAAACTACATCAGCTTAACGTCATCTTCAGGGATGGAATGTATTTCCATAGTGGTGACGAAGCTTGAATGAAAAGTTTTAAAAGATAAAAGCTTAATCAGGAAAGTGAGGTCCATATGGACCCCCCTGTAATTATTGCTTAGTCCTCTCGAGGACCAATTCCAATATGGGAATTCTTTCTAATATCCGTTGAAAGTTTCCATGGTCGAAAAGTTTTGAGATACTCAGCATGTTTCCTAGCATCTGCAATTTTAAGGATAAATTAATTAAAATTTGGCGAGTGCGTTAAGCAATATATGCTATACAATGATCAACCGTAAAAGGTGTAATGGTAATTTAGGTTATTTAAACAAGACAAGAATTATAATGAAGTGTTTAATAACGGTATAAAGAGTTTTTTTTATTTATACAGTATTTTGAATGAAGTATGACTGGTCACATAACTTATTGTTAGTGTGCAAAAGCAACATGACTAGAATTTTCTCCAAAGTAGACCGAAGTGTCCGGAAGTATTATATCCGGTGCCCAAAGAAAAAAAAACATTTTGACAAACAACAAAAGGAAACGCATTTAGTTGATTTTCTAAAAGAGGACACAACGATGAATTTCTTAAAACCCAATTCGAAGCTATAATTTACGACAAATCAAATTAGTAGTGTTTTAGAAGCTATATTATGGAATGCAAAATCAATTAATATTAATAATTTAATTTTTTCTTTGGTATTAGGCGGGGAAATTTTAGTCATAGAGAACAATTTTAGGTGATATTTGAAAATTGTGAACATTTTTGATAGTAATGGAATTAAAGCTTGAGGTTGTCTGGTTCCAATGTTTGGTTCCTTCAGATTGATTTTATATCCCTGATCATGCGAAATGCCCTGATCATGCGAATAAATCGAATGGAATGCTTCTTGGCATTCTTTGCATAAATTAAAATCTGCTATGATTAACAAATAAGAGTTTCTTTCAGGTGCGTAACTTTACAACAATAATTATTTCCCTTCTCGTTCAAAAATCCACAGAATTGATATGGATATTTTTGGTTTGAAATGATAACACGGATATATTTGGCCAGCTAGTGTATAAGCAAAACTTACCAGATACATCTGAAGACTCAACTACCTGTCTAAAGTATAGAAATATTTTAAAACAAAGGGACAAATGATCTTATAATTCAGTTGCAATCATATTAGGTTGAACAAGCGCGGACTGTTACCAATAAGGCTTAATTTGATTGATGTAGGTAAACAGAACACAGAGAGCTATACCGTACTTTTTTTACTTAAAAATATTTTTTGAGTGAATAAAACATACCCTATAGTTTTGAAGATTGTCTACTACGCAAGCTAAGCTCACATTTCTTCCTGCTGTGACTGTGATGTTTCGAATTGGCTCGGCAAACACTGGATTATTGGTCACGATCTCCGGATTAGTGAGAACTAAAAAAAATACAAAGCATTATTTGACATTTGACCATACCTATGATCATCATTTTATACATGACCAAATTTGACCGATTTATTAAATATATATATAGCCTATTCATTTGGCT